CAGGAAAGCCTCCCACCTACTTTCCAGCTGGCTCTGAGCACCTTAGCTTTGATGTTCAATTTCAGAAACCGTCTTGCTGTTTCATTTTGTATGCTCCGGCCTCAGCGTTTGGGTGCTACCATGGTTCCGTTTTCTGCTCAAAACTTGGGTATTCACCAGCAACTTCAGTCTTCTCTTTGAGTTGAATTGACCTGTGATGTCCTTAGTCAGCCATCTTGAGGCACCGTGCCCAGCCTCATGTGACCAATTTTTAATGAGGTTATTTGCTTTTTTTCTTGCTGATTTCTTTGTAGATTCTGAATGTTGACCCTTTGTCAGATGTGTAGTTTGCAAATATCTTCTCCCATTCTTGTAGGTTGCCAATTTACTCTGTTAATTGTTTCTCTTGTTGTATAAAAACTTCTTAGTTTAATTAAGTCCTATTTGTTTATTTTTGTTTTTGTTGCATATGCTTTTGGGGTCTTTGCCTATTTGGACTCTCTTTTGGTTCCATATAAACTTTACAATTGTTTTTTGTAGTTCTGTGAAAAATGAAATTGGTATTTGGATAGGGATTGCATTGAATCTATAGATTGTCTTTGGCAGGATGGTCATTTGACGTTATTGATTCTTCTGATCTATGAGCATGGGATGTTCTTCCATTTGTTTGCATTGTATGTGATTTCTTTCATCAGTGTTTTGTAGTTATCTTTGTAGAGATCTTTCACCTTCCTGGTTAGATGTAGTCCTATGTATTTCATTTTATTTTATTTTGTGTCTACTATAAATGGGATTGGGCTCTTGATTTGGTTCTTGGTTTGAGTATTACTGGTGTATAGAAAAGCTAGTGATTTTTGTACATTGATTTTGTATCCTGAGACTTCACTGAAGTCATTTATCAGTTCTGTAACCCTCTTGGAGGTTTTAGGTTTTTCTAGGTTTACAATCATGTCATCAGTAAACAGGGATAGTTTGACTTCCTCCTTGTTGATTTGAATGCCTTTTATATCTTTCTCTTGCCAAATAGCTCTTGCTAGGGCTGAATTCAGATACAGTGTTGAATAGGAGTGGGTCTTAATTTTAATGTAGATAATTGTCAGTCCATTTCTTTATAATTTTTACTCTTTGTGTCTTGTTTTAAATTTTTCCCCTATCAAGTTTTTAAATTATTATCCCAAATCAGGAGTTGACAGTTTTTTTTTTCCCGGAAAGAACTAGACAGTAAATATTTTAGTCTTTGTGAGGCATGTGGTTTATGTCACAACTTCCAGCTATTCAGATCTACAATAGTAAGTAGCATGGAAGCAACCATGGATAATACGAACGTGAATGGGCATAATTGTGTTCCAGTGCGACCTTACAAAAATAGCAAGGGCTGGATTTGGTTTCCAAAATTGTCCTAGATAGTCTTCGAAGAGGATGATAGCCAAGGCCAGAGAAAAAGTACAAAGGGAGGGCCATATGTCCTATGTATGATATTTAAAATGTTAAAAACTTAGCAAACAAACTGTTAAATAAAATACAATACATTCTTGTCTTCCCACCTTGACATATACACCTTCATAATGACAGGGAGGCCAGGTTTGAGTTGAGAAATCTCAGGCTCCTTAGGGTTCTGCACTGAAAAGTTGTGGCTCAAATGGAGCCCTCTGCTCTTCTTTTCCAGCCTTGGTTTTTTCCCATGCCACAGCCACTAGGTGTCACATTGCAGTCCTTATGTCTGAGTTCCATCTCACCTCCCACAACAGACATTCCTTAGCATAGTCCACTCTCTAGAGACCAAGCAGGGAAAGGGGTTGTGCCAGAAGCTGGTCTGCAGCTCTTGAAACATGGCATTCCAGGTCCTGAGTTCCAGCCTCCTCTCAAAGGGATGTGTGGGCTGTAAGTAACCCAGTTCCCTGAGCCCTGCAGACTCCTGCTCTGAGGGGAGGAGCTTGCCTGGAGGGGGGCCACAGTAAGAGTCTAAAGCAGATACTAACTTTAGCTTTGTGTGTCACAATTAGATGTTTACTCCAATTGGAAATTCATTTTAGATTTATTGTTAATATTTTTCATATAAAAACAATTATGCTCCCACCACTTGTTGAAATGCTGCTCTTTCCCTGTTGATAGGCCATGCAAACGATTATAAGACCAGTTTCCATGTGGGGGACTCACTTTGGGACTCTCTTCTGTACATGGGTCACTTTGTGTGACTCTGCATTACTTGTTTAGATTTGGTAAGATGAGTACCTCAAAACTTGGTTTTAAAGCATATTTTGACTTTTTCTGACATAAATTATATTAAAAATTTGCTTTATAAATTTTAAAATTGACTTGTCAAGTTACACATGCATGCATAACTTGTATTTGAAATTTGGCTGGAGTTGCATTGAATCTGTATTTCACTTTGGGGATAATTGACATCTTTACTATTGTGAATCTTCATAATGTCCGTTTCTCTATTTATTAGGTTGCCTAATCTTGACCTGATTATCCATAGCTACTTAGATAATCAGTAATGCCTTAAAAATGATTGTTATAGTGTTTTCTTTATTTCTAGTTGTTTTTAGCGGATCAGGTCACTGGATCATATTGCCAAAGAAAAAAGTCTGCAATGCTATTGAAGAACAATGGCCATTCTCAACTATTCTTAAAGATTTATTTCAAAAGGGAAGGATTAATCGAAAAATAATTTGGGTTTTGAAATGAGAAATTTATTTAAAAACTCAGGGAAAGTTTATTCTAATGAGCTTCTACCACTCACAAAGAGAATCATGAGAATACTGAGGTAGCAACAAAAAAAATTCTCAAGGAATCTTGCCTTGTCCTTTGATCCCTATAGTAATGCTATCAGAATATTTGATATTGCCAGGCATGGTGGCTCACACCTATAATCCCAGCACTTTGGGAGGCCAAGGTGGGGGTGAGAGGACAGAGCAGAAAACAACTAGGCAGACAGACAGGGTTAGTTCAAAGTAACAAACTGAGAGGGGACAGCTAGTAAACAACTTGGCAGACAGATAGAGCTATCCCCGGTAACAAAGTAACAAACTGGGAGAAGCTGTCTGGTAAAGACCTCAGTTTATCAACAGGGTGGGTCCCCTGGTAACAAAGTAACAGACTTCCTGCTGCCGAGATTGGAAAACAACCAATCAGCTCACAGCTAGTGCTAGCCAATTGGCTGAGCCTTACGGCTATGTGAGCACCATGTTTCAGCTCCAAATCGGCAACGCCCCTGAGGTCCCCTCTGGCTCTGGAAGCATTTGTGCCCTCTCGGTAAATCCTACTTTCTCAACTTTTGTCCGTTAGTGGGCTTGAGACAAGAACCCCAAGCTGAAGAGCTGCAGAAGATTGTAGGAGCTGAAGAGCTATAAGCACAGAGGCTGTCTTGCCAGCCAGTGGAGTCGGCTGAACTGGGAGAGCTGCTGGCGGAAGGCTGGACTCTGACACTGAGACACTTCAGGGGGCTGGCTTTCCAGCCCTCCAAATCAGCAACACTCTCAGGGCTTGGCTTGCCAGCCCATTAGAGCCAACACTCCTAGGGCTCGGCCTGCCAGCTCATGGAGCTGATGCTCTTTGGGGCTCAGCTAGCAGACCCCACTTAGCTGATACTCTGGAAGCCCAGGTTGACCTGAAAAGTCTGTATCAGAAGGATCACCTGAGGCCAGCCTGGGCAACATGGCAAGACCTCATGTCTACAGTAAATCAAAACAAATTAGCCAGGCATGGTGGCGCATGCCTGTAGTCCCAGCTAATTGGAAGGTAGAGGTGGAAGGATTGTCTGAGCCCAGTAGGTCAAGGCTGCCATAGCTATGATTGTACTACTGTACTCCAGCCTGGGAGACAGAGTTAGACTTTGATTTTATAAAAAGAATATTTGATATATGTCAAACTTCTTACTTCAGAAGGGATGCCATAAGAAGCCATGAGAATGAAGTAACCACTTTCTCCATGACTATGGGGACCTTAAGGCTAATAATGACAGTGCATGGCCAAGATTAGCAGAATTCAGAGGATGTAACTATCAGGTGAAATAGTCATGAAATAGTCATAGAAATGTCCATGCTTCAGTGGTATCCCAGGGAGGCCTGGATCCTTTGAGGTCTGGGCAAGAGTCAGTAAGAATATTCTATACGAATGATCTCAGTACATACAGCCAAGATGGGTTTTTAGAAGACCTGAAAGTTAGTGATTTTTTCCAGGACTGTACTCATCCAGATCAAATGTTGGTGGTCACCAAATCCAAAGCCTCTACTGTCATTATTACTAAATATCTTCACTCAGTATGTGTCATAATAACCCTGATCATATCATGGGGTGGAGGGTTGGAGAATTACCTCATAGTTCAGTAGGGGGACATTCCACGTATGCCTCGGCGGAGTGAACATCGATCAATGGTCTAGTGTTAAGTTCTGAAGAATAAGACTTTAAGAACTGAACCCCCTGCTGGGCTCAGTGGCTCAGCCTGTAATCCCGCGCCTTTGGGAGGCTGAGGTGAGTGGATTGCCTGAGCCCGCGGGTTCGAGACCCGCCTGGGCAACTTGGCGAGACCTCATCTCTACAATAAATCCAAAAATCAGCTGGGCGTGATAGCATGCGCCCGTAATTCTGGCTAATTGGAAGGCTGAGGCGGAAGGATTGCCGGAGCCCAGCAGGTCGAGGCTGCGGTGGCCGGAAGCAGCCACTGCACTCCAGTCTGGGCACAGAGTGAGACTCCAACTCAAAAAAAAAAAAAAAAAAGAATTGGACCCCAGAGGAGTTTGAAATCATACTGCTCTGTTTGTTTTTTCCTTTACTTCAAAGTTCTTTAAAATTTTTCTATGAAGTAAAAGTAACTAGAAGTTTGTCATCATATATCATCAGTCCCAACTATTAAATCTTAAGTATTCTTCATTTCCATGAAAATTCGGGACTTTGGTAGTGGAGGAATTGGATAGAATTTTATTCTGTTCATTAAGTGAGTGTTCTAACATTATGTTTAAGGTAAACAATACTGAATGTCAACTGCCTGGATCTTAACAAGTTACATTTTACTTAAGGTAAACCAGACGCAATGTATACTGTCTGAAAAGATTTTCACAATTGATGAACTCTCATGCTGTCTCAACTTTTATGAAGAAGCATATAGAAGGTTCTTCTGGAAAATAGTCTTGGTAGGTATGGCATGTTTAAAGGGGGAAATGATAATCGGTGAGATAAGAGACATTTCTGTTATAACTTTCTTCTTTAGTTTCTGAAAAACCTTGTACTCTTCAAAATTGCACAACAGAAATAGCAGTGCTTGTGGGGAGAGTAGGACTCCTCAGGAAACTAGCAGAAGAGTGATGGACACCGGAAGGGTGACTTGGGTCAAGTAGGCAAAGCAGTTCCTGGAGATGCCATGAGAATGGGAAAAAGAAAGGAGAGGGTAGAAATCTGTCCACACTCCAATTAGAGAAGGACAAGTGGTACCAAGACGCAGGTGGATGTGGAGCTTTGGGGTCCTCAGGTGGCCATAGAAGGCAGTGCGGTTCCCCAGGAGCCAAGAGCCAGCAAGAGAGGACTGCAGCTTTGGGGAGGGCACCTTGGGTGCAGGCACTCCTTTTTATTTTCTGAAAATACAGTTGGAGGGGACTCCTCTTGCCAGGGCAGCATCTGCCCTGATGTGTTCTTTCTTGCTCTGGTGTCATAATTCTGCTCCCTCTAACACTCCACTATTGCTTGGCATAAATCATGTAGAAGCTAACCAGTTGTCCATGTTCTATCATTCCTGTTTACCAAATGCATCTGAGCTAATTCACATTGCAGAAACTTAGATGATAGCATTTTTGGGGGGAGGGAAATGTCCAGAGTTCATAATTAATTGTTAAGTTAAATGGTCACTGAAAATTCTAAGCTTATGTACTTTTCATAGATTCATTTTCTGCTAGTACTACAGACCAGCAGTTTGGATTGCTGTAGCTGGAGGTATAGAGAATCAGGGATGTAGGCAGTGAGCTAAGATACAGGAGTCCTCTGTCCTTTAATTTATCAGCTATTTTATTTCCATTTTTAGGACTCTTCAGAAGATATAGACTATTATGTCATGTTCAGTCAGTTTCCATTTGTCCTTAATATTCTGTCAAAAATTAAACTACTACGTGCAGACACGTTATTAAAAATAGAGGTATGTATGCTTTTTTTTTGTCTTTATTAGCATAAATCACATGATGAGTACCCTCTGAATCACACAGTATTTGGGGGTGGTAAGGGAGCCACCCACTGGTGAAAGCAATGGTGTGACATTCAAGGAGCTTCACTTTAATGAAGAAGGCAAGGCAGACTGTCATAATTTAGTCAGGCTTGGCTTTAATGCATATTAGGGCCTTGTTGGCCAAGGACAGAACTTGGGCACTGGCCTAGTTACTGGGTTTTTACTTGCAGTTGGTAGTGGCAACTTGTCTGAATAATACTCAAAGAGCATAACAGACTTGACCTTGATTAGGACTAGCACTAACATTTAAAGAGGTGCAATCTAATGAAAAGTTACAGCAGTTCCAGGAATAGAGGTGGCAGAAGATTCTTGAAATGGCTGGTACTCTGAAGGTGTCATGGTAAAGGTTTAAAAAAAACTTTCCGTTTCAATGCATAGGACTGTCACCAGTGGAGGTGGTTGTGTTCAGTGTCTCCAGCAGAATGGTTGCATATTTTACCACAGATTTACCAAAATATTTTACCACCATAGTAGTAAACTTGAGCAATTGAAAATGCCTGGGGCAACTCTTCAGGTCCCCTCCCACTGTGGGAATTTCTCTGTTCTCTCAATAAGTCCTGCTTTCTCAAAAAAAAGATAGAAAAAATTGCCCAGGGAAATATATATAACAGTCTGTATCTTCAAGTAAAAACCCAGTAACTAGGCCAGTACCCACGTTCTGTCCTTGGCCAACAAGGCTCTAATATGCATTAAAGCTAAGCCTGACTAACTATATCAGATAATCCCTGCCTCAATGCATTTTATAAGGATTAAATTTGTTAATAAAGGTAGGCACTTACAACAGTGCCACACACAAAGTACCAAAAATTTATCATAATAAAACAAAATAGGAAATTGATTGATGAGTTCTGAGTATGACCATTAATGATATATATATATATAACAAAGCGCAATGAAAGAAGAAAAGATATAAGAACTTTTGCTTAAACTTGTATAATCTATTCTCTCCTGATTTTAAACAAGCTTCCAGTGATAATTTTATAGAGCTGATCTTTGATTGCTTCTTCTGCTAAGAGCCCCAGACTTTAATGACCTCAAATTGCCATTGGTTTCAGAATGAACATTCTGTCTCTTCCTCTGTTTCTCTCTCCCTATTTCTCTTAGAATAATTTTTTAGATCAACTCTCCCTTAAAATCTCTTGACTAGGTTTTGAAGAGGAAGAAGTCTCTCATACCTATATTTTTCCTGCAGTCTGCTTTTCTTGGCCGGGAGGTGGGGGTGTGTTTGTCAGAGTCTTACTTTGTCACCCAGGCTAGAGTGGCATACTCATGGCTTACTTACTGCAGCCTCAAACTCCTGGGCTCAGGCAATCTTTCCACCTCAGCCTCCTGAGTGAGTAGCTGGGACTATAGGTGTGTGCCACCATGCTCAGGAAATTGATTTTTGAGTTAGTTTTTTTTTCTTTGGTAGAGATGAGGTCTTGCAATGTTGCCCAGGCTGGTCTTGAACTCTGGCCTCAAGCAGCCCTCCTGCTTCGGCCTCCTAAAGTGCTGGGATTACAGGCTTGAGCCACTGCATCTGACCAGCATGCTTCCTTTCTAAATGTCTGAACTTCTCTCCTGAATTGAGAGTATTATGTCTCAGTGTACTGTTTCAGTGGCTGTTACGTCTCTTAGCCACTTAATGATAACTGGCTTTGGTCACTTAAGCATTAATAGTTGTGTTTGCAGGATAAAGTGGTTAATAAACCTGCAGTTGACCACTTATGTCATCATTCAAGTTGGCCCCACCTCAGCCGGGTGTTTCCTCTGCTCGCTGAGAGTGAATACCAACTGTTTTATCTACAGTACTGCGTAAACAGAGGCTTTTTTTTTTAAATCAAAGTGATGTGCATTCATAAATAGAACCAGTTAATTTTGCTTTATAAATTTCTACTTAAGAGAAGGTTAATGGCAATGAAATGAAACATTTTTGTTTCCTAGGAGGAAAATATTAGAGCTCAGTGGAGGTTGGTAGAAATTGTGGAAGAAAACGAATCCGAATTAACCTTGATGCCCACCTTTGATCTGACAGTCAGAAGGAATCACTTGATTGAGGATGTTTTAAATCAGCTAAGTAAATTTGAGAATGAAGACCTGAGGAAGGAGTTGCTGGTAAAGTACATTCTCACTTAATACTTTTGCTACTGAGAAAAGAAAAACTTAAGAGAATGTCACAAAAGGTCCCATCAAAGGGAAATTATCTCCCTTCACCTTGGAGGTTCTCTGTTTTGGGGCTTCCTTAATTCTCGAGTTACCTTTGAATTTCAGGAGGTAGCTGTGGGCACTGAGTACATTTGGGCTCAGTAGCAGCAGGCAGTATGATGGTTCTCCCCTGGTTCTACTCAGATAGATAGTTGACCCTGAACAGTCCAGTACCTTCTGAGGCCTGGTCCAGCCTGACTAGTCCCAACCCTTTAAGGGTTCAGTGACATGAAGTTGGCACAGAGGAGAATTGAGGGTTTGCTTCTGCTTTCATGTAGTAACCTAAATTGCTTTGTGGAAAATAAAACTTTCTCTTCATTGACTACAGTTATTTTGGAGTATCATTGTAGGTTTAGTCATGTTTGGAAGATTCTTAAATGATTTTAGGTTTAATTACTATGTAACTTGGATTGCTAGATTTTTTTTTTTTTTTTTTTTGAGTTGGAGTCTTCCTCTGTCGCCCAGACTGGAGTGCAGTGGCCGCTCCGGGCCACCGCAGCCTCAACCTGCTGGGCTCCAGCGATCCTTCCGCCTCAGCCTTCTG